CATTTCCTTTGAGGCCCGCACATGCTGCCACCCTTCTATTGACTTAAAAACTGATTTGCTCAATCATGAGTACATTAAAGCCCTCGGTTACCCTTAAGTACTAGGAATACCTTTTATGTTAGTGATGTCTATGTTCAGTTGTTGCAGCTTCTCACAGGTCCTTTCCACACATTCATGGACAGACTTTAGTATTTCCTTTGGATCTTGTTCCACCCATCTTTAACAAACAGTAAACACCAGTTAATAAAAAGACAAAAAATTACACTTAGGGGAAAAAAGAAACTCTAGTCTGAAAAACCAGCTGAGCATTTTGACAGAATTATAAATACAAAGTATGCTTTACATATCTAGAAAAAGTGTAATGAATTTCAAATCCTTTTTAAACAGTAAGTTCTATTTTCACAACAAAATCATCTGCAGAAAATGACAAATTTTGTTTTGTTTTATTCTATACAGAGGGCTTTGGCAGCAAATGCTAGGTCAGTTAAGAACAAACAAACAAAAAAACCACCTCAGAGAACAAACTAAGCAATTTCTATGGACTAAGCTGAAGACAATGATTAAATTGTAAAAATGACCAGCTTTACCACTTTAACTCAGACCTTAAGTCTCATTTAAACTTCAGTTTTAAACTTTAAAGTTTAAACTTTCAATACATTAATGAATGGTCAGAGTAAAACATTAAGTATTTTTAGTTTAGGTAACTCAAGAGCACATACTGGACACCCCATGTAAGATTTTTTTATGCCATTTTTCCTACCACGCAATCTTTTATAGCAGATACCATGGTTTTAATAATTGTTAATCAACTTCAGTTTTGATCATTCATAGATAAAAATGCGTAAGCTCTACCAAAATGTACACAAATAAAAAAACCATAGAAAATTCTTACCCCTCTTTAGGGAATTTCTGCTGTATCTCAACTTGATGGTGACTCAAAAGCTCTGCTGTTTTCGCATGAAAAACCTGCAAATAAATTACACAACAGAATTTTCTATGAACACAGAAGTTTAAACAACAATAAATTAACATTTATTCTTTGGAATAAATACAGTGCCGGGATAATTAATAGTCATTTTCTATCATCAGCCCAAATATCCATATAACCTGGATTCAGATATATGAATTTTTGTAATAAAGGTAAGCAAAGAATATTTTAGTAAGCCTGGCTGTCAATTATAACTGCTTTTTTTTTTCTTGATGGATTGGTAAAGAAAGAACCACATTTTTTCTTGTGGAAGTTGTAGAAATTAAACTAATGATGCATTTTAGAACATACTTCCCAGTAAAATACCCACTGTTAGTCATAATAACATTACTTTCGTTCCTGCTGTAATGCCAGTCCTATGCCTTTTCTTGGGTTAGTTCACTTTTAAGAGACAGACAATGACATGTAGTTTAGAAATCACGGAAGGGACCAAACTGTGAAGAAAGAAAAAGCACCTAGGCAGAACCCAGTGTGTTTCAAAACAAACTACAAATATAAAGCTCATGAATAATTTGACGAGAAAGAAACATCACTGCAGCAACGCAACACATTAAAAAAGAGAAAAACATGCAGAAAAGTGGCTTAGATTTGGATATACTACAATAAAAAACAGCAGAGTAGAGAATCCAGAGGACTACACTTACGGCTATTCACAAGTTAGAGGGTCTGCCTTGCAGTGGAAGCTCAGCTAGAATATACAATGATCTTCATTAGCCATCAGTGGCCTCTTTCCAAAAGTAATCTACTGTGGCCAAGCTACGACAACACCCACTAAAACATCCACCTTAATTGTACAATGAGTAAGCCAGCGTAACTGACTGGGCAAAGATGATGTTGCTGTTAAAATGGCTCTTTCTCATTAACACTACACAGAACCTTTTGCTTGAAGAATGTTCAGGGACCTAGAAAGTAAAATCTAACAGCAGACTCAGGTGAACCACAGAACATGCTAGTAGGACACCATCCTACCTTTTTATGGCAAGCAGAGGAGGGTCAGATTTAAAAACCACTCTTGTGCTAAGGGTACAAAATCCAGTTATACCCATCCACTCTAGGATACAACTGAATCTTTTCTAGACTTCCTTGGTAATGCTCTTTTTTCATTCCTCAAATTTTAGGAATTTCTCTTAAAGCTTTTAGTCCATAAACTCTTGATTTCAGTACAGTTTACTCTGAAACTATTAGAACAATTCTGACAAAGAGCAGATGAAGTTCTGATTCTCCCAGTTTCTTCGAAAACTTAAAGTGTATCTTTAGAGTGAAACTTTGAAGTTTAGAAACGTTCCAGTTATATATTAGAATCATTGAGTAAATTCAGGTTGAAAGGGACCTTGAGAGATCTCCCATACAACCTCCTGCTCAAAGCAGGGTCAGCTATGAGATTAGACCAGGTTGCTCAAGGACCTTTTCTAGGCAGGTCTTGAAAACTTCCAAGGATGAAAACAGCACAACCTCTCTGGAAAATACTAAAAGCTATTTTTTCCCTTCCACTGCCCAGAGAAGAAGTCTTAAAGGTACATGTTCATCTTTTCCTGTTATCAGTTGGAAAGATTACATAGAAAAAGCACCACTGTATTCTTTTTACCATATTTACTTATCTGTGTTTCATCTACCAGCTTAGGCTTTACATGAAACTATCCTAATAAAAGGGTAAGCTCTATCATTACTACAAGTTTGGAAGGAACTAGTATAATGGCAATGCTGTGCAACATAATTAAGAGGAGAGATTAAGTTTTACATGTAGACAGCAAGATTTTTTTACTTGAAATTGCATTTCTGTCAAAAGCATACAAACATTTACTAAGTTTTAATAATAAAGATAGAAGACTTTTTATTGAACCTGTATGTATCTGACCTACTAACAATGTTAAATATCGTTTGGTAATCATTCATCATCCAGTATTCCTTGGAACAGAAGGCAGTGCATCAAGATTCCTACTGTTAGCGGGAAATAAATATAGATTCAACTAGACAAGGTCATTCATTGAACCTGGAACGTGTGACCTGCAGATAATAAAAGGGTAAAGCTCTAGCACAGCAAGGCTTTTTGCCTCCTACTAGGCAAGCTGTTCTAACAGCAATAAATTCTCAACAGAAGCAGTAACACTACAAATGCATAGATTTTTTTCATGCCCATAGAGAAGAACTAGGCAAACACGCTCTCCTAATCCATCACAAACAAAACCACAAGCTTCTGATATCCTCAACAAAAGCAGCAGACACTCCCTGTACCTCAGGGCAAGGGATTAAAAAGTTTCACTGAGAACAATACCATGTTCTACAGTGATAAATAGAATTCTGATACATGAAAGGATACCAAACATAAATGAGTCATTACATTTAAACCTAGCAGACGATTAACAAAGTAGGGAATAAATAGAACAAATTGGGACCTCCCCTCCTTCCCTCCTCCCCCTGCTCCAAACAAACAAATAAACAAACAAACAAACACCACCAGTTGCCAAAAAAAACCCCCACTCCAAACAGTCCTTTTTTCTCTCTGACAGTGGTGAGAAAGAGAAATAGGTGACAATAAGCATGAGTAATTCAGATAAGGTCAATACATTCAGGTTGAAACAGGTTTGAAGTGTGTTTCTGTCACTGCTTTTCTTCCTTTCATATTCATTAAGAACTGGTTCCAGTTTATGATACTGATCTCTCACTTTTTGTACAGGGGAAAAAAAAAGTCAGTCAGTTTTGCCCTAATGCATCACCAATAGTCACAAAAGAATTATCTAGGCTATTTGGACATGTAGAGCTATCTTGAGCAGAGATGATTTGATGAAAGACAGTGTAAACCACCAGATATGTACTGAATTCTCTGCTGAGATTAAAGAAAAGGAATAAATAACAGCCTCCATTCACTCCCACCAAATTATCGTACAAAGAATTAGAGCTTGAGCCTTGAATCTTAGAGTGAAGGAGAGAAGACGGACCTATCTTAGCTATGCTGTATATAAGCAAGCAGCCAAGCACAAGGGCTGATCATTTAATTCAAGCTCTTTATGGCGTCTCTTAATATAATACATGGCATCATATGAAGGGGTGCAAACAGTTGCATGGCATTACATTGAGTCTTTATCATCTTAGTGGAAAAGAGCTCAGATCAATCAGTTGGAACAGTTTTCAAAGAATGAAAAGAAATATGAGACAAACAGAAACATGAGGCTCATGGAAGTGATGCAAGAAGCTGCACAGTGTGGTGGGTTGACCCTGGCTGAAGGCCCCCTGCAGCCCCACCGCTACCAAAACCTTGCCACACAAATCCAGTACACACAGCTAAAAAGAGCATAGTGAAAACATAGATTTTAGAAGTAACTCTGCCTGTAGAAAAGCTACTTCTGTTAGCCAATGCTGTATCTCCCTGAGTTTCTGTTAAGCTGGAACAGCTATGGATTTGCAGGCAAACAAGCTCAGAGCTGGAGTTCTGAAATCGCATTGAAATAAACCCATCTGAGGGAAGGTCAGCAGAAGAACAGTATTTCCACCTTTACGATTTAACTAGGATTAGCAGGCAGGCAGAATTTATGAATAAGCACAGTTTAACAAGTCTCCTAGAAATTATCTTGCTCGGAAGGCTCCTCATGAACAGATCACCCTCCCCCCTCAAGGAGGTGCTTATGATTGTGGGAATAAAAAGCAAAACTACAATGTATTTTAAGTGATAAAAGGTAAGAGTTAAGGAAAAATTAAAGTATTTGCAATATTTCTAACCCTTCTTGTTAGCTATACATCCAAGTTTTGCTTTTTCCCAAAACATCACGTTACTTTGGTAGAGGGGTGAAATGGATTCCCCTCTGAAGGGTAAGCTCAATGGGTACTAAGTTTTTGCTTATCTAAAACTAGGTTTTGTATACTGAAAAGAATGGTTACAGTGTGATATAGCTTTATTTGAATATTTCTTCTGGAAATGAAGTAAAGGAAGAAATACATATTCCACTGAGATGGAAAAAGAAATTGTCTGTGGCTGACTGACAAACCTAGAACTTCCAAGTACTGTGTATGTACTTCACTGTATGTGTACTTCACTGAATATTTTGATTCTTGCTGTTCCTGGATAAAATGGCAGAAAGACTTTACCCAGCCAATACCTTTCAAGAGACCAGGCAGTGGTTCAGCTGGCCATTAGCTCCTGATGCCAAGACTTTTAGCAAAAGAAGTTACAATGGATTTTTATGATATGATTCTTGAATAAAATAAAACAGAACATGAGCAATGCAAGTATTTGATGAAAATACTTGGCAAAACTTCTAGACCAAAATTTAGTCATCTGGGTACGCTTTAGCCCACTCAATTTATTTTCCTGCTTGATATCTTTATGAAAATGAGTCTTAAGCAATCGCAGTGGTACTCAAAGCACTGTGCTCTCCTTGGTAACTCTGAATCTGTTACCCAGGTTCAGCCCAACCTAACAGAAAATTTGAGATCTCAAAAATAATGACAGCTTATTTTGCAAAAGCAAGTAGCTCAGCAAAGAGGGTAAAACTACAGCATAAGCTAAAACTGTATGTGTATTGTGTGTGAGAGGCAAGAATAAATAAGGAGTGACAGTAACAGAAATGCACTGAAGTTCCAGTGCTTCTGGCGTTTCTTTATCATCTATGCTCATACAGCCTCATTCACATAAGCAGGAGAATCTCTCAAAACTTGTGTTCATGCACAGAATAATTAATTCTGGAAGGAATCTCTGGAGGTTGTCTAGACCAACCCACTGCTCAGGTAAGCTTAAATTTAGACTCTGTTGTTCAGAGCCTTTTCTTGTCAGGTGTTGAGTATCTGCAAGGATGGAAATTCCACAGGCTTTCTAGGCCCTGATCCAGAGCCTCTCTAGTGAAACATTTCTTCCTTACATCTATTTGAAATTCCCCTTGTTTTTCTGTGCACGTCTGAGAAAAGGCTGGTTCTGTCTTCTCTACAAACTGTGATTAGATAGCTGAAGACATCCCCTCAGACTTCCCTGTGATGAACCAATCCCTGA